GGAAGGGGTCCCAAAAGAAAACCCTGTGTATGCGATTTCAAACGGGAAAATGCTCCAACAAAGATTGCAGGTATGAACATGCATGTGGTTACCCTCGTGCAGACGGTACGGCATGCGGGGCAGCTCACCCTGCCATAGAGCACGACAAGACTCCGCACTGACTTACGCAGCAGAGTCCATCAGTATCACCTCCCAATGTGACGATAGCTCAGTTTAAGCTTAGCGATGATCCTCTTCTTGAACACCAACAGGAGGACAAGTCTTTGGGGTTTTCACCAACGCATTTTGCGTCAGACATGCAGGCAAATTCCGCCTCACCACATGCAGCACCTCAACAGGATGCCATGGTCGAGGAGATCACAAGCATGGACAATGGAGACATAACCATGGAACATCAACATACACAGATTTCACAGACCACAATCCCATCAGCTTTGTACAATGTGAGTCAAGATCTTCTCACTCCATGGAGTTGCACGGGTACAAAGATTTTCCTGGACATTTGCAGCGGAGCAGACAGCCCTCTTTCTACAGCAGTCAGGGCGATGGGGCTTCCAGCTCTCTCCATTGATATTTTACTGGATAGCCGCATGGATCTGTTACATGATCAATTCTACGAACAACTACTGAGGTTAAGTGGCTCCGGAGTCATTGGCCTATGCAGCTGCATCGCCGTCTTGCACCGAGTACAGTTTACTCAAACTTCGGCCAGGTGGGCCGAGAGCCATCCGGACACCAGATATGATGCAAGGCATTCCTGATTTATCCCCTGCAGAACAACAGCGCCTTCAAGACAGCGCTACACTGTTGGATCGCTCAGTTAATTCGGTCCAATGTACCTATGTAGCTGGCGGTCATGGCCATGTCGAGCAACCCTCAGGTGCCATGAGTTGGAGAGAACCATCCACGCGAAATTGGATTCAGATGGCCAACTGCTGCCTAATTCTTTTAGCAGCCTGCGCTTTTGACTGGGACATCAGGAAGACATGGTTATTTGCATCATCTTTCGAGCCTCTATCAGCCATTGCAGCAGTTTGTACCCATGCACAAGGATCCCACAAATCTATTGCAGGTACAAAGGACGAACATGGTATTTATTTGAGCAGGCGTTCTGCGGCATACCCAACGAAATTAGCAGAGGCTTTTGCACAAAAAAAATCAGTTTTACTTTCCCCACTCAGATGATATCTCGTGGGATTCAGCGTTTTCACTTTTTCCCCACAAAGATTGGTTCCAAGATCCCAAAAGTTTTGTGGATGGGGGAGGTTTGCAATCATCCCCAGACTGGTCCAGACCCCCAGCAGACAAAGAGAACATCTTTCGATCGGTCCGGGATTTTTGGATTCCCAAAATTCTAAAACATGATTTACATAAGTTTATCGTGGGGCATTTCCAGCGGCAACAAGTGGATCCGCCATTTTCAGAAGACCTGGTGCAACAATTCCGTGCGTCTCTTGACACATTGCTGCCCCTCGACAAACCGCTCGATTGGCAAGTGCGTGCAGATCAACCGCTTTGTTTGCATGCCCTTCAAGCAATTAGCCATCACATGAACGATCCGGATCGAAACCTTTTTCCAGCACTTATCGAAGGAGTTTCCACTGGTTTCCAAGACAACATTGCTCCTTCAAATGTATTTGCAGCCAAACCGCCCACCGAGGACCCAGCACGACCGGAATTGTCCGTCCATTGGACAAACTGGCAGACAGCAGAATCCCAACCGGAACTCACGGAAGAGCTGGTCCAAGAAGAAATTGCAAAAGGATGGCTGATTTGTTTCCCTGGAAACCTTGAAGATGCCAAACGTGAATACCCCCTTGGCGTTGCAGTGGGGAAACTTTCAATTGCCACATCGGACACGCGTCCACCACGATTAGTAGTAGACTTTACGGTTTCAGGCACCAACCACAATTGCGATATACCTGAGCATCAACAACTGCCATCTGCAAAGGACGTAGTACGTTCCTTCCCCCTTCGTGGTCATAATGGGGAACTGGGAGCCATGGGACTTGACGTCCGCGCAGCCCATAAACTTTGTGTACTTCACCACAGTCATCGAGGCCTAGTAGGCTTTTCGTTCAAAGGGCGGTTGTATTTCTACAAAGTATATCCTTTCGGAGCCCGATTCAGTGCGTGGTGGTGGGCCAGACTTGGCTCCTTTTTTACAAGGCTCCTACATCAGTTTATTTATACGGCCCACGCCTTGTTCCTATTCGTTGATGACTACTTACTGGTTCAACGCTTGGACATTTTACCCATCACAGCAGCCCTAGTAACTTTACTGGTTCAGGCATTCAGACTTCCCATCAGCTGGCGACAAGCAGAACTACACAAAGAAGTCAATTGGATTGGATGGACATTTAATTTTTCCATCGGTCAGGTCAAATTGCAACAGAGCAAGCGGGAAAAACTACAAAGATTAATCCTGGAGCTTTTGACCCATCCGAAAACCTCCAAAAAGACCATTGAAAAGTTCATTGGACTGGCACTTTGGATCACGCAGCTTTTTCCCCTAATGAGAGCTTTCTTGCACCACTTATATACAGACCTATATAAGGCACCTGGCACATCATATTCAATTGACCCTGGTTTTTGGCTCACCACATTGTCATGCCTGAGCCCGGACCTACAATTTACTTCTCGGCCCATCGGCACAGCTATACCTGAAGGCGGGAAATTACTGTCAGTTCGTCACCAGCCGGTGGCTACCTTGGAAGATGTCCGCAACTGCCGATTGTCCGAAAAACGGATTTGGGTTCGCATCATGGACCCTTTGTCAACCAAAAGATCGATCAGCAAAGACTCTCAAAGAATATTGAACATGTTCTCAACTTGGCTTCAATATTCAAATCCGATAGTTTCAATGAACCCTAAATTACCTTGGGCTGGCGAAGCAGCTGCAGATGCCTGTGCAGATAAGGATCATTGTCAGATCGGAGGGTTTCTCAGATTTGCCAATGGTGACTTACGCTGGTTCAGCGAAAAATGGATAGCATCCGATTTTCACAAACTAGAAATTCCAGTATCCTCAGATATGCAGAAAGATATCAGCAGCTATGAGACATTAGCCCAAATTTGTCTCTTATATTCCCTATGCAGCTTACTGCCATCCCAGCGCTTTGCACTCACATTAAAAAGCTTAAGTGATAACACGGCAGCAGAATCCACCTCAAACTCTCTCTTCACCACCAAAGCTCCATTATGTTTCTTTGTCGAAAAGCTTTGCCTTTTATCTTCAGCAGTCCATGCACAATTAGACGTTTCACACATCCCGGGATATGCCAATGAGTTGGCTGACATGATTTCCAGAATGAACCTAGAGGAGCCCTTGCCTCCCAGCCTTCAAGCATCCGACCGCATCCGAATTTCGTTAGATCAAATTTGGCACCTGACCAAAGCAGTTTCGATTTTCCCAAAGGGATCAACAGTTTCATGGCCACTTCCGTAACCTCCTGTTTCCATTGCCAGTCCTTACCTCACACTTTTCTTAGAGGGGTTTGTTGGGGCATTCAGTAAGTCCTGGTTGATAGAAATATTTGGGTGAAATGCAACCATCAACCATGACATGCTGCTGATGTGGCACAGCCACATATCCAACTGGCAATGGAAAAAAGGGAGATGCGCGATTCGACCAGAGCTACATCTCACTCCGTTTTTCCCCATCGATGTTTTTGTGTTAGTTTTATATTGGTTTGTTTTATTGTTGATTTTGGTTTTCTTTATGTTTGGGGTGATTGGCTCGAGCTTCTAGGATGTAGCTAATGAATGCTTACTTGTTAGAACTCTTAATGTACTTGTTTCATTTGTGTTTTAATCAATGTAATGCTTCATTACATTTTGGCTCAAGTAAGCATTCATCTAATTTCAAACACCCACCCTCCCTCACCTGATTTTAAGTGTTGCCTACCACGTTTTCTATGCTCTGTTAAGCTGTTGTTTCTCAATATCCAGGTGGGGGAATCATAGTATGTCAGGGATTACCCACTCAGTTCTCCAGCTGCTTGAATTTTCGATTGTCATTGGTGTTTTCCCATGTTGCTAGCAGTTTAATCTCTGTTGTTTTACCTTTTCCCTTCAGTTGGAGTGTGACTCACGAGTGCGGTTCCCTTGCGTGCGATTTCCCATTTTCATCCGCTGCGCGACGAACCAACGCATCCGACTGTTTTTCCATGGGCATCCGAACCAGCCTGATCATTTCTTAACGTGGCAAGACTCAGGCCACTCACCCGGCAAACATCCGATTGCAATTCCTGGACGACCTGTCCTTTCAGCATCCGTTGCGTTTCGCATAAGATAAAACATCCATGTGGACCAAATTTCATCATTTAATCTGGTCCTGTCATTCTTGGGCTGTTGGTTTTTTCTTTCTCAAAAAAAAAAATCCGCATGGATTCGACGTCTAGCCTGAAGGGCTTGGCCATCAACCTCTCTACATGGGATGGGTGAAATGCAACCATCAACCATGACATGCTGCTGATGTGGCACAGCCACATATCCAACTGGCAATGGAAAAAAGGGAGATGCGCGATTCGACCAGAGCTACATCTCACTCCGTTTTTCCCCATCGATGTTTTTGTGTTAGTTTTATATTGGTTTGTTTTATTGTTGATTTTGGTTTTCTTTATGTTTGGGGTGATTGGCTCGAGCTTCTAGGATGTAGCTAATGAATGCTTACTTGTTAGAACTGTTTCGTTCCACGACAGATTTGTTTTCATAGTACACTTGGAAACATGTCACTTTATGTCGCCAGAAGACGTGCGGTTCAAAAAAATTGTGGCCATAGTTTGGGCAGGAAAGGCCCTCAACGCTGAGGATTTGCAAATTACGATGTAAAAATAATACCAAGTAAAAAATCACCATGTGAGTTACCATTTTCAGGGTTGATTCAAAACAAACGAACACATGGAAACCGGCAACTGCGAAATTTGTTAAGAGGTCTGATGAAAAAAATGAGGAGAACATGGAAGAGGTTCTTTTGGAAAACATCGTTTTTGTTCCCCATGGAAAGCACCGAGAACGTGGAAGAATCCAAGGAGGAACGCAAAAGCCGATGCTTGGACGTGCTGGGTTAGGACAACAATGGTCGCGTGGAACTAAAAATTGGACATGTTTGATGTGGTTAAGGTCATACTGAGTTATAACTTAAAATGTTGGATGAATTTGGGATGTATGAAACATTAAATGTGGGTATTTCGCGTAGGACATTTCACAAATAAACGTTGAAATAGATCATGGACAACCGTGGGGTGTTTGCAACAATAAATTTCGTGATGTCTAAGAACACAGTGGCAACTGGAACCATGTTCATGTCACATTCATTGCTCTTAGGATGGTTTTCGGGTTTTCGCCCATGGGTGAACAAGTTCGATAATTCGGATGCCGTCCGTGTGACTTTTGATGTTTGTTGGGAAACCGCATGAAACTGACTGATGTGTTTGTTTGATGTGAATATCTGATTTTGTTATGTGGATTTTGATCGCCAGTTGGATCACATTCTAAAATTTGTAGTTTTTGTTGGTAAATTAGACATTTATTAAACAAATTGACATATTGGGAGATCGATTGCCCCCTTTGATCTGTGAGGTTTCGGGAAAGACACATGTTAATATAAAGAACTGCAACATTTTATGTGTCCTTGGAAGGGAATTGTTAATGGATTCCATGGATCAGGCAAGTGGTGTGCTCGGAACACACGTCACAACAAACTCCAAACTTTCACATGCATACCCTGCAGTAAATCAACAGAGACATGGAAAACCCACCACTTGTGTTTTTCGATCGTCCCTAAGGAAATCCATGGATTTCCATGACAAATTTCCAGCAGGATAAACAAAATGGGAATACCATTGCCTTCGACATGGCCCCATATGGCCAGTCCCTGTATTTGGAGGTGCATCCCAGTTGGCACATGGTAGCTGGTGAGATCAACCCCAGCTTGGGATTGCCAATATTGGAGGGAAATCATGGACCGATTCCCATCATGGATGAAACAAATGTCCATTTCCTTGGATTTCACCTGGTATCTTCATTGAATATCATGATAAAAACCATTATCAATCATTATCAACCCTTATAAACCATAGTTAACCCATAGTTAACCCATTATTTACCCAATATGAACACCTAATTTAACCCCTCTCTCGATCTGTGGGATGCCTTTTTCACCGAGGAAGTGCTTCGCGTGGTTCAAGCAAGCGGAGACCTTGATATGAGTGGTGGGATGTGCAGAACCAGGCAATGTATGGTGTGACACATACACACGCATGTATATGTATATGTATATGTATATGTATATGTATATGTATATGTATATGTATATGTAGATGTAGATGTAGATGTAGATGTAGATGTAGATGTAGATGTAGATGTAGATGTAGATGTAGATGTAGATGTAGATGTAGATGTATATGTATATGTATATGTATTGTCTATGTCTATGATGTATTGTCTATGTCTATGTATCTATGTATCTATGTATCTATGTATCTATGTATCTATGTATCTATGTATCTATGTATCTATGTATCTATGTATCTATGTATCTATGTATATATTATATATATACAGTACATATATATATATATGTATATATGTATATATATGTATATATATATATCTTAAAAAAGCATATAGATACATGACATGACATTGCATTGCATTACATTTCATGACATTACATTGAAGGAAATGCAGTTGATTTGGGCTAGATTGCAACTGATTTGGGTAGATGGGGCTTCAGAAACTCTGGCTCAACTGAAAATCAACAGTGGCCTTTGTAAAAAAAGCTAAAACTCATGACTTTTGTGTTGCTGAAGAATTCTCCATACTTCCAATCCAAGCGGCTCCACATCCGCGGCTCAAAATCCAAGGCGGTGGATCCACCATCCCCAAATTGACGGCGGGCCATGACACGGGTGTTTCTCTGAAGAAAGATCAATTCAGGGTGCCGGAAAGAGACATCTATCCACAGGTGGCATATACATATTATTAATTCATATTATGTATTTTTTGCTCGGCCCTTTGAGATGATCTCGCGGCGGTCTCGCAGGGATCATCAGCGCATCGGCTGATAATCAGGGAGCATGCTCTTGGTGTGATCCACACTACCAGATACATGCGCTAATTCTTTGGTGAAAAAATCGATCTCACCCAAGCCACCGTCAAAGTGACGAGATTCGATTCGCCTCCAAAAGGCAGTTGCGAAGCACATGCACAAATTTGGGGGATACTCTTTAGCCCTGGATGTTTTGAAACTTCCAGTGCTATCATGTCCGATCAAAGGCTCAAGGCAATTACGCTGCATGGGCTGCGCAAACTCAGAAAGGACATCACCGATGCGGCAGTTGGCATGAAGAAGGGAAGTCGGCTTGGATCCGCAAGCTCCATGATGTCCCTGTCTGAAGGTATGGCGCCTAAAAAGCCACCCCTCCCGCAGAAGCAAATTGATCACGCCTGTTCTCCAAATAGCAGCTCGTTCAGATTGCATGGGAGGAGCCGGATGCTCCAAAATGACGGCACCCCCGGTCAAGGCGACTGGGATGGAGAGCCAAATTCCACGCAACAAGAGACTGTTGCCGATATCCAGCTGCTTGAGTTCAGCTAAAGAGAGTTGCGAAAGCCCCCATGGACGCGTGGCACTCCGCAGTGGCCTCGGCCCTCTCATCTGCCTCCCCTCCAAGTCAAGTAGAACTGCATGTCGTGCGCTTGACCATGTCTCGCACGGTGGGCCCAATAAAAGCGCCAAAATTCGCCCTGCTCTTGCGGCATCAATGAGAAATCCCCAAAGACGCTCATCATGGACATTCATGCGGTCGTCAATAGCCGTGTCGATCGAAAGGACATAGACTGCGCTGCTCCAAGGGGAGCTGCTTGACGAGATGATCTTGTTGATCTGGTCATGAAAATCCCCTTGTCGCCTTCTGCCAGCATAGAGATGAATAATGAAAAAGGGCCCAGTCTCTGCAGGTTTGACTCGTCTGGGTCTGTCCGTCATTCTCCATCTCCTCCATTGTTGCTCCTTGCTCTCGAGAGCAGCAAAAGCAGAATCAATGGGGTGTGCACGTGCAGGTCGGCGTTGGGCAGGCTGCTGTGGAACTCGACGAGCTCGTGGTTCGCCAAGCTGAAGAATGTCCCACTGCTTCCGCAACTGCCTCATTCGAACTTGGAGATTCCAAATATGGATGTCAGCCAGGAAGCTCATGTGTGCCTCTTCCAGGGCGTAGTACGCATCATGGTGCGCATACTGCTCAATGATGGTGTAGAAGTCTGTTTCAACCCAAAAAATGAAGATACGGGCAGCTTGAAATTCCGGAATCTCCATGTCAAAGAATAATCGGAAAAACATGTTGTGGAAGTCAACCACTGTAGGCTGCTCGAGCTCAAACCAGTCACGAAGACGTGCTTCAAATTGCACGCAGCACTTCCGTGTCAATGGCTCATCATCAAGTGGGCTCCACCATGCAAAGTCGCATCGCCCTTCTTCCTCCAACTCCGCAATCTCTCGATGGACTCGTGGCATTCTCTGTGATGCGCTGTGGGTCGCAATGGCCCATGGTGCTGCCTCACAGCTGGTAGACGATGCACTCCAGTCAAGTGAGGAGGCAAAGTCACAAGTCCAGGATCTGCCGGCTGACGAACTCCAAAAATGCGTTCCCAGCACTGGTTGGCACGATATCGGAGATGTTGTGAGACACGATATGTGGTGTGGAAATTCTTGAGACAACCTGGGCAAACTGCAGACTGGACGTACATGCTTTCAAGCGCCCGTATGCCATGTTGTCGAAATGCATGAACGCCCAATTGTTGGCAGGTAGGAAAAACCGCATCACAATTGGAGCAAGGAAAGCTGCCCCCAATGTTCTCATCCTCATTGGTAAGGTCCATGAGCTGCATTCCAAATCGTTCAAGCTCCAACCGGATGCTGTGATGGTAAGCACAGACAGTGTTGGCAAGATGTTCTTGTTCAATATGCTTGCAAACCGCTCTTTGAATCCATGCTTTCCACTGTGGGGTAGCACGCAACTGCTGCCAGTTTACTGTCCACGACGCACGATCGTGAGGAATCTCAAATGGCAAATCACGAAGGTGAGAAAACCATGTTAAGTCCTGCTCAACTTCAAAAAGCCAGCCTTTGTTGGTGGTTCTTTCCATAAGCAGCAAGGTTTTGTGGGCAGTGATGGCATGCTGGGCAATGTGCTGCAGGAAACCAAGCCGATGTCTGGTCAGGAAAATGCGGAATGGTATCAGGCCATTATCCTTCATGAAATCATGATCATTGACTCGCTCTGGCGACCAGAAACCAATGCCATAGATCTGCCTGTAGCAGTCTGTAACCATTGCATCAAGTTTTTTAAATGAGGCACTTGAGATCTCAGACCAGATGGCGCATCCATACAAAAGTCTTGACAACACCAGGCTCTGAAAAAGCTGAATACGGGCACGAATGGGAAGCGATCTGTTCATGAACACTGGCTGTTTCAACTGTGAAAATGCCTGGCGGGCAGCTCCCAATCTAGCACTGATTTCACTATCAATGTCCATATTCATGGCATATCGCACTCCAAGGTGCCGATATGATGAAACCACTCGAACCGTGAGGACATGAGTGTCAGTGGTTACTGTGATGGTGGGCTGCGCATTCCGCAAAAACAATTCACGTCGGTGCTGCACTGCACCGTCTCCACGAAAACAAACAATCGTCTCAGTTTTGCCCGGATCCAAATTGAGGGACAGGCCTCTGCTGCGAAATGTTGAATGGAGAACTGCCAATGTGTACTGAACTAAAGGGACAAGTTCAGAAGGATGCGCGGCTGACAGAGCGATGGCAACATCATCGACCCATGCAACTGGGGGCACATACGTGCCGATGGCTCGCGCGCCTTCATGAAATGCCTCGGATTCATTCAGCTGCCTGGTGACTTCTTGAAGAATGTCGGACATCATCAGGTTAAACCCAATATCAGCCATTGGGCTCCCTGGGCGGGTGCCCCTCAAGGTTTGGGTGCAGGAACCATCCTGCTGTTCATTGCCATGCAACTGAAACCACGTGTGGTTGTGAAGGTCATGTAGGAATCTCCGCAGACCGCTGGGGATGTCATCAACTTGGCTCGCACAAATCTCGTTCAGGTCATGCTCAAGCTTTTCTAAATCAAACTCGCTATCATCCAAAAACGTGGCCATCGTTGTGCTCAACAGCGTATTATGCGTTGAGAAAATGAGCTCACGGATCATATGATGAAAGGCAGATTTCAAATCAATAAAAAGCGTGGCAGTGGAAATCCCCTTAGCTTGCCCAATGATTCCATGTAAACGAATCAATTGCACCGCGGTCATTGTCTGCTGCGAGGGCAGGCCACCAATCTGGCCGATGGTGCGCCTTTGCTGTAGTGTTGGGAGAAGCCGCATGCGGGCCCATGCATGGGTGACCTTGGCAAAGCTGTTGGCTAACAGTATGCCGCGATATCCGGCAGCATCATCCAGGCAGCCCTTGTTTTTGTGAATGGCACAAAGTCGTCCGCCCTTGTAACTGACCGGTTCAGCTCCATGCAAAACTGCCTTGCACAAAACTGAGTGCAATTGCGGTGCGATGGCAGCGGCCCCTTGACGACACAAATCTGATGGAATGCCGTCAGGCCCGGGGGCCTTATTGGGTTTTTGTTTGAGGCACAAAGTCTCAACCTCTGCTAGTGTGGGAAGTTCCTGGAGCTTAAGGTGTAAGCCAGGAGCTTCTCGTGCTCGCTCTTCTGCATTACGGTTAAGACATCCACGAATGAGCTTACCCACTGATACTGTTTGGCCGGCTTCAAGGGATTGGAAATGAGTCAAGAGTTCATGTTCGATGTCCCTCTGCACTTGAAAGCGTTTGGATCTATGTTTCGGCAGCACAGCTTTCAGTTTCTTCCAAATGCCAGTCAAACCTTCAACACTATAAGTCTGGGCAGATTGGTCGGCCAAACGTGCATAATACTGTGAGTCCTCAAACTTGATGGCCTGCTGAACATCGCTTGCAGCTTTTCGCAACATGCTAGTGGTTTTGGCAACCGCATGATCATGCAATCGATTCCATTGAGAAAGGTCACGTTGAATCGCACTGGCACTGAGACTGCTATTGGGTGCTCCTGAGGAAGCCCTCCAGCTGAGAAAACATGCTTGCAAGGTTGTGTGGCGAGCCACACGCTTGAGTGATTTCAGCTGCTTG